CTGTGATGTCCGAGCACATGCGCTCCACTCGTTGTGGGCAAGGGGTAAGTGTGATGTGGTTCGTGTCCGTGCTAATGATGACCCCTTGGATTTTGTGGCTCGATGCTGGTGGTTGTCTTTTGCTGGTCTTCATGTTGTAGCCCAGGGCCCCGTTGAAGTCCTCGAAGGATCGAAAGCCCGAATCTGCTTGGTGTGATGCCTCGGTGCTGCCATAGTCGTCGACATAATGCATTGTTGGGCAAAGGAGGATCAGCCTTGACACTGACACCATGGCATCGCCGAATCTGTTGTATCCCCAGACGCTGGCTGAGGATCCGAATAGGAGGACGTTGTGGCTCCACAGGGTGGGCCCTTCTGGGGTGTGGAGCCTGTTCCGGTCGGTCAAGAGGTAGCTGTCTGTAAGCTCCGTCATGATCGTGTCCCCACACGTGTAAGAGCTGGTTGGGGTGGTGTTGGTGTGATCGGACGGCGAGGGCAGCGAAGTGATCTGGTGTGTGATGATAAGGTTGGCCGTGCATGATGCATGTTGCGTTGTGTCCGCTGCGGCGCCAGTCCTCGCCTCGTCGGATCTTCTCTTTGCCGTCTGATCCGGTTTGTTGTACGCTGAATGCTAGCGCTATTGCAGGTGTGGGGTGTGGTATTGGCAGCAGCCGAAGTTCTGGGTATTTGCTCGGGGTAATTGTCTGGGGCTCCCAATGTGGCGGTGCTGTGAATGGTCCGTTCATCCTCCCCATCTTTGACCTCCTGCACGATCTCCTCAAGCATCAGCTCGCAGTGGTCGTCGACTCTGGCTTGTTGTAATTTTCGCTGGACATAGTGGTCGTTGTGTTCCGTGAATTCTTCTTGTGTCTTGGGGACGAGGTACTTGTTGTCTGATCGGAGGTACCAATTGGTTCCTGGCTGAAGCTGTCCCATCAGTCGGAATCCTGAGGAAAGTTCCTGATGTAATATGTCGGCTTGTGGATAATCGATTTGCCGCAATAGGAGGGTAAACACCGGGACTTGTGCGACTTGCTTCCTCGTGGTGTATGCTTTTTGTACATGTTGCGGTAGATCGCGGAGCCAATCGTCAGTGACCTCTTGCATGTCCTCGACCAGTCGCCGAATCTCGAGCACCACTTGTTCTCGGAAATCTGCCAATGGGTGAAATAGATGTGAATGCTGTATGACCCATTCCAGTGTCGGGTCGAGGGGTTTCGGTGTGTGGGATGTGTCTAGTGACTGTGTCCATTGTATGTGTTCTTGCCAGCAGAACTGTGGCATGTAGAGGTGGTGCGTAGGCTTCGCTGGTGGCCCAAACGAGGTGCTCGTGGCCAACCAGATGCTGGTGGCTCGTTGTATGGGTGAGATGGAAATGGCTGTGGCGGGCGTGTGTATGGTATCCATCACCATCAATAGCAGCAGCCAGATGGCCGATGGGATGTGCCATGTGTTGCCTAATGCCTTGTTTCGATGGTACTCGGTCTTGTCTGGCGTCATGTTTGCTGCGCGCTGTCCATCAAAGCCCATCATCTGCTCTCTCATGTTGGCTGGTGCCAGGTGTTGGTGTCCGTCCGCATCGGACACGAGGTACTTCTGTTGGTACTGCCATGGTGCGAACCGTTGGTGATCTGTGTGCCACCTGTGGATCGTGTCGGGTTTCTCATTGCAATGCTGGGGCGCTGGTCTGCCACTCTCGTCCGGTGCCGGTGTGGTCAAACAATGGAACAGGCCTCCCTTCTGTGTGATCGCGGGTGCTGTGAAGTGCTTGGTGTCAAGCGGTGGTTGTAGAGTCTTCGCAATGGGGTTGTGAAGGCGGGGCCACGGTGTGTCCGTCTGCGTCCAGTGGAGATCCCACGGAGTGTTGGCCACCAGTTGTGGCTTGACTCTGTCCCATTGCACTGACAACCACCACAGTCGTTTGCGATGTATGATGCCGCCATCCTCTGCATCCACGACAATGGGGTCAACGCCGAGTTGTCTCGATAACTCCAGGATGTCCTGTTGCACATTCGTGTGTGGCACGACGTTCTCGACGAGGATGTAAATGGGTATTTGCTGTAGCACTTGCTTGATTTGTTGTACGACGCGCACAAACTTCTGGAAGAGGTGGCCTGTTGCTCCTGCTGTGCCAGACGGGTTTGCTCGAACACCGGAAAAATCTGGGCAAGGTGGTCCGCCTGTGATCAAGATGGTAATCGGAACGTTGGGGTCGAGGTGGTCCAGCAAGGTGTCGATCAACTTTTCGATGTCAAAGTCGTTGACATCTCCCATCTGTATTGGTTGGAAATGTTCGTCGAGGACATTGATGCATTCGATGTCTGTTTCCCAGCTGACTGTCAACGCTGGGTGAACGCCGAGCGCGCGGAGCGCGAGGCTGGCTGCGCCGACGCCGTCGAAGAAACTAAGGTGTACGAGGGTGAGTTGCTGTACAAAGGCACGTGTCAGGTCTTTGATTCTGCGTGATTGTTGTGACCCCGTCGCCTTGGCGGAAAGGTCGTTGTCTGATTGTTGTTGTGTTGTCTGGTCGGCTCCAGGGTCTGTCCCTGGGCCGCGCTGTCCCTAATGTTGGCCCTTGCCTTTTCCACGGCCTTTGGCGCCCTTGCCGTCCTTACCGGGCTTGCCCTTGGAGGGTTGGCTGTTCTGGAGTGGCGCGGGCCTGTGGCTGAGTGTTCCAGGCTGCCTGGTTGTATGTGGGCCACTGCTGTTGCTGCACCATCATTGGTGTGGGGATGGGCGGGTTAGGCGGCTGGGGTGGGAAAGCAGGCGGCTGCCATGTGGTTGCCCATGCTTGTTGTGGCCACTGCCATTGTTTGCCTGTCCCTTTTGTCTTGCCTTTGTTGCCCTTGCCCTTTCCTGGTTGACCTTTGGGTGTCCGCCAACGTTGAGGTTCCTGGTTGTC